CGCATAGACAGTTAGGTGCACTCACTCCTGAGCTCTTTCTAATGTTGTACAAAACATACGTCAGGCCACACCTTGAGGTGCATAATATTATTGCACCCCCAATGCTGAGAAGAGATGCCAACCTCTTGGAGAGAGTCCAACGACGGGCAACAAAAGGAGTGGTTGGTCTCCGAAACAAACCATATGATGAAAGGCTGAAGAAATTAGGCCTGTTCACACTTAGTTACCGTCGGCTTAGGGGGGATTTGATTACTGCCTACAAAATAACAAATGACCGGAATCACCCAAACAAAGGTGTTCTGCCATTGAGTAGGTATAGGCTTCCACGTGGAAATCCCAGAAGGATAGCTCACCAGAGGGCAAGGACCCGGGTGCGCTCCCACTTCTTTTCACTGCGGGTTTGTCGTCCCTGGAATTCCTTACCGGCAGATGTAGCTATGGCACCGTCTTTGGACGCCTTTAAGCGAAGGCTGGCTTACTGGCTGAGACTTATGTCTCTTGAGGTTCTACCATGCCAGGCAGGTTGTTTGGATAGCGGTTAAACAAAAAGCAGCTACCTCATCCAATACCATGATCCAAACAAATTCACAAAATTTCATGCCGGATCGGCCGTGGCCCGGATTAACAACGACCGCGCTTCCTGCTGCCGTGTCACAGGGCGGGAGTCATAAGTATGCTACTGAGGCACACAAAACAACGAAGAACGAACAAAAACAGGCCGCGTGTGACCGGCCACAAGCAGTTGTCCCCTGGGCTCTGCGGTCACGCAACCAACTTCCACGGTGTGGGCAGCCGGGAAGTAACAATCGCCCCCACAATCCAAAACGCACACAAAACCTCTCTAATCCTCACTTATCTTTGTCTTCATCTTCATCTCTATTACCTTACCTTCCCCCCAGTGATGCAACTCCTCTACTTGATGACTCCTCACTCCCTCTTCACTCTGTGTCCACTAAAAACGACGAAAGCCAAAAAACCACCACGGATTGTCTCCTAAAGCCACGCCACCAATTTCATATAGGAGCATTTAATGTAAGGACACTTTGCCAAATAGGACAACAAGCATCACTAGCTAAGACCCTGGCATCTCGAGCCATTGATGTATGTTGTGTTTCAGAAACACGCATACAAGACCCAAGTGTGGTTATTCACCTAAACCCACCTGGCCAACAGGATGAATCTTCAAAATTCACCTTGAGGGTGTCAGGAGATGCCACAGCTAGTTCACGGGGATTAGCTGGCGTAGGGATAGCTCTGAGTACTAGGGCAGAAAAGACATTGCTTGACTGGATCCCAGTAGATAGCCGAATGTGTGCTGTCCGTCTGAACGGATCAGTAAGAAGGAGAAAGGACTGCACTACTCGCCGATGCCTTTTCGTAATCTCCGCCTACGCCCCCACTGACTGCAGTTCAGATGAAACGAAGGATGAGTTCTACCAAAAGCTGTCTAGTTTGGTGAGAAAGGCTAAACGCTCAGACATAGTCGTTCTAGCTGGTGACTTTAACGCTCAAGTAGGGAAATTGTGTCAATCTGAGAAGGATGTCGGTGGCACCTATGGAGTTCCGTACCAGCGAACCGACAACGGTGACCGTCTCCTACAGTTCTGTTCAGATAATCATTTGTTCCTTGTAAGCACTAACTTTAAACACAAGGAGAGACACTGTTTAACCTGGCGACCCCCATCATCAAACCAACGCTGGACACAAATAGACCACATAGCAATAAGCTATCGTTGGCGTGGGTCGGTAGGAGATTGTCGCTCCTTGTGGAACACGTGTGTAGATACCGATCATGCACTGGTCCGGGCTCGTGTGTGCTTACGACTGAACGGACGTAGGAAACAGCTGGCGGTAAAACCATTACGCCCCCAGCTCGATCAGGAAACTAAATCCCTATTTGAGGAAGAACTAGCTAAACGCATATCTGAATCCGACAGCTGTGCTCACCCTGGAGAAGCCTGGAAGAATATTCAGTCAGCTATAGATACAGCTGTAAAAGCTGTGAATAAGACAAATCCAAAGGTGAGTAAAAACCACTGGATTTCGACTGCCTCATCCGAACTGATGGATGCTAGAAGACTTATTCCGGCGAGCTCCGAATTCAATGAGGAGCGAAAGCTGCACAAAAGGAAACTTACTAAAAGTCTCCGCAAAGACCGTGAACAGTGGTGGGTGACAAAGGCGAAAGAGATGGAAAAAGCATTGGCGATAGGCAACACTAGGCAACTCTTTAGACTCATCACAGAATCGGGCGGGAAAAGGCAATTCATAAGTGAGACTATTTCTGAGAAAAATGGCTCCTTAATTAGCTCTCAGGATAGACGCCTTGAACGCTGGAAAGAACACTTTGAGGAACAATTTAACTTGCCTACAGCCACACTGAACCTCCCCGCCATCCACCACGTACCCGAATGGGATATAGACACTGGTCCGCCGTCTGTAGGTGAGGTTACAAAAGCTATCAGTAATTTGAAACGAGGCAAAGCGGCAGGACCCGACGGAATTATTCCGGAGGTGTTTAAATATGGGGGTGACATACTAGTTTGTAGATTAACTGAGGTACTAGGCAAAGTCTGGGAATCAGAGACAGTACCATCTGACTGGGGTAAGTCACTCATTATACCGATATTCAAGAAGGGAAACAAGTCCTCGTGTGATAATCATAGGGGGATCAGCCTAACGAACATAGTCTCTAAAATCCTAGGCTCAGTAATCATGCATAGACTAAGCAGAACTCGGGAGGAACAGACAAGGGAAAATCAAGCAGGCTTTAGACCAGGTAGAGGGTGCATAGATCATATCTTCACTCTTCGACAGATTCTAGAACATAGACACACTTTTCGGCGTCCAACAATTGTCATATTTCTTGACTTGAAGGCGGCCTTCGACTCCGTGGACCGAAAAGTACTATGGCAATGTCTGACTGTGAAGGGAGTGCCAAGAAAGTACATTGCACTAATTAAGGCACTCTATTCAAACTCACGTAGTCGTGTAAGGGCTTATGGGGAATTGTCATCTGAATTAGTAACAACCAGTGGTGTCCGACAGGGATGTCCACTTTCCCCATTTCTGTTTAACTTCATCATAGATATGCTAATGGAAGTATCCTTAACTGAACGTAGTGACTTAGGAATCGACTTGTTACCAGGGAATAATCTAATGGACTTAGAATATGCAGATGACATAGTCCTGTTAGGGGAGGATGCTGACAAAATGCAGAGTCTTCTGAACACCTTGAGCAGCAATCTTCGTATGTTTGGCATGCGATTCGCCCCTGCAAAATGTAAGATGCTGCTACAGGACTGGACGACGTCAACCCCTAACTTAGTGATAGGGAGTGAAGTGATAGAACATGTTGACCACTTCACCTACTTGGGAAGTTGTATCAGCACCAACGGACTGATTGGCGATGAAATCTCAGCACGGATCCGAAAAGCTCGAGCTGCTTTCGCTGACTTACACCATCTCTGGCGTAGGCGTGACATCCGGTTATCAACCAAGGGACGTGTGTACTGCTCATCAGTTCGCTCCGTCCTTCTCTATGGCTCTGAAACATGGCCAATACGCGTTGAAGACATGAAAAGGTTGACTGCTTTCGATCATAGATGTCTGCGATCTCTTTCTCACGTTAGGTGGTTTAATAAGGTAAGTAATGTTGACGTTAGGCGTAGAGTGTTGGGCAAAGAGGGAAAATCAATCGACGAGGTTATAAAGTTACATAGACTAAGATGGCTAGGTCACGTGGTGCGCATGCCTAACCATCGCCTCCCCCGACGGGCATTGTTAGCTGATATAGGTTCAGGTTGGAAAAGAGCCAGTGGTGGCCAAACAAAAACATGGCATCAATCCATGAAATCCTTGACAGTTAAACTGAGTCAGGTAGGGAGATGCAGACTCCCGGGTTGGGGCCCTCGCGACTCTAGGAATCAATGGCTGGAGACAATAGGTGACATGGCTCAAAATCGTTGTCAATGGCGCAGATGTATTCAATCTCTGTAATCTTTCATATTCCTTTCTACAATTACCCATTCTGTTTCACTCTTATATTTGTCAAACTCTATTGATTCTCTTCACTCATCTCCTTGTCTACCTCTGTGTGCTATTTGGAACGTGGCAACTCGAACTGCTGCACTTCGGTGCCAAGTTCTATGTTGAATCCAGACAGACAGACAAGCGAAGGCTGGACAACCATGCAGCTATACAAGGACTGCATCCAAATGGCCTATCTCCTTAAAATCGCATTTACCAATCAGGGTAGATAATTAAACTCGTCATTTTACTTCTTTACATTCTCTCCCGTCTTACTCTCCTGACAACTTATTAATATTATAATTACTATTATTATTATTACTATTACCGATATATTATTCTTCAAACTTCATGAGCTGACTGTTGTTACGTTTCCTATTTTCGTTTCTGTCTCTTAGTCTGAATAGCTTCACTAATAATATCTATTATTATTATTACTATTATTATTATTATTACTATCTCTTTTCTCTTGTCGACAATACCGAAGGACTAACTGGCGAAAGGATCAACTCCAATCACAGTAGTAACAGTCTTAACATACCTCATACTACAAACCACATATAATTAATCCCAGCACTACTCCCTTTGGAGTCAACCAAAGCTACGACAGTCGAGTGGCGGGACAAGCTACGCAGAAGTTTACCGAAGATCAAGAACCTATACCTCACAATCAAGAGGCGAGCACAAAGAAATCAAATTGGTTTATACTAGCTCGTAAAAACGATATTGGATATTGGATCTCCACGACTAGTGGTCACAGTGTTAAAATACGTTTTGAATGAGCTACATAACACAAATGTCGACTTAAAATTGTCGTTTGACACAACGCTGCTACTCTATTATCTCCGAAAAAAAGGAATTTTTGTGTCTCACAAAATGAATCACAATACCAAAGCACAAACTATCTCGGTAAAACAAAATTAAATCGGACAGAATGAAAAAATTGTAACACAAAAGCACGATATACTTGCATTTTCAAGAGACTTTAGCACTGATGACACCCGGCTTTTTCTTCTCCTACTTGTTACTGTGACAGGTGGAGTAGACGATGCGTTCGAATCTTCACAACACTTAATGGGTGGTTTAGTATCTTCAGTCTTTTTCACATCAACACGGACACGAGCATCAATTTTCCGGCTGGATTCTCCGTTGGTCTTTATATTCTTGGCCTTAAGAGCGCCTTCCTCTACAGCGGAACTTAGTATAACCGGGTAATATCTCACCTTCTTTCACTTGACCAGGCTTCAGTGTCCGTTCAACGTCCTCCAAGACTTCTGGAGGTGGCAATGACTGTGACTTTAATTCAGACTTTCTTAAAACTTTAACCTTCCCGGATTTCCTGAAAATTACAAGAAGCATCGTGATCAGAAACATTGCTTTACACAAGTTACATCTGTCGCTCTAATTCTTGTTTTTTTGTCAAGCCCTCTTCATTATACTTGAACATTCGTTTTTCAGTCACCCATTCATCCCAGCTATATTAAACCGTAAATTATTACTGATATATTATTACCTCTTATTCCAGCCTTGGTAATGTACATAATATATTACACCATCCTCTTTCACTTTAACGTCTAAGCATTTCGCCTCATACATAAGAGGCCCATGGAAACAAAGTAATTTTTCGCCTTGATGTACGTGATTCTATATAAGAAAACAGTAAGAATCTTACCTTTTTCATATTTCGGATTTAAATCCAAGCTACTCATGGTGACGCAAAATCAATACACGCTCTCTAATGTCCAATATCTAATATCGTTCTTACCAGCTAGTATAAACCAATTCAATTTCTTTGTGCTCGCCTCTTAATTGTGAAGTATAGGTTCCTGATCTTCGGTGAACTTCTCCGTAGCTCGTCCCGCCACTCGACTTTCGTAACTTTGGTTGACTCCAAAAGGAGTAGTACTGGAATTAATTATATGTGGTTTGTAGCATGAGGTGTGTCAAGACTGTTACTACTGTGAATGGAGTTGATCCTTTCACCAGTTAGTCCTCCGGTATCGTTGTCAAAAGAAAAGAGACAATAATAATAAGTGTAGTTAAAGTTGTCAGGAGAGTCAGACGAGAGAGAATGTAAAGAAGTAAAACGACGAACTTAGTTGTCTACCGTTGAATGGTGTATGGGATTTTAAGGGGATAGGTCATTTCGACGCAGTTCTTGTGTCACCGCATGATTTTCCAGCCTTCGCTTAAAGGCATCCACAGACGTTGCCATAGCTACATCTGCCGGTAAGGAATTCCAGGGATGACAAACCCGCAGTGAAAAGAAGTGGGAGCGCACCCGGGTCCTTACCCTCTGGTGAGCTATCCTTCTGGAGTTTCCACGATGAAGCCAATACCTACTTAATGGCAGGACACCTTTGTTTGGGTGATTCCGGTCATTTGTCATTTTGTAGGCAGTGATTAAATCCCCCTAATCCGATGGTGGGGAAGTGTGAATAGGCCTAAGTTCTTTAGCCTTTCATCTGTAGCGGTGAATAATTCCCCAAAATTATTGACCACAGGAATCATCAGCGAACATCGGATGCTGACCCTTAGCGTTTGAGTCGACTTGTTTAGCTGAAGGCTTCTGATCAAGCATCCTCGCCATTTGCTACTCCGTCGTGACACTTTCGTGCGCGATCACTAGCCAGCTTAGCTTCCGCTTCAGTCCACGATTTGGTCCCAAATATATCTCGTAGTTTGGAAGATCAACTCTGGTCTTTTGCTTTGCCTTCGGTACACGAGAAACGAACACTATACTATAGAAGTTGTTGGTATAAGATCTTGCGTTAGTATACTCCGTACAATTCGCGAACGTCAATACCGTCAAACTCTAAACATCATATTGTTTATTTCGGAGACCAACCACCCCTCTTGTTTCCCCTTCTTCGTATTCTTTCCCAGAAGTTGGTGACTCTTCTAAACATTGGGGGTACAATAATATTATGCACTTCAAAGTATGGTATGACGTATGTTTTGTACAACCGTAGAAAGAGCTCAGGAGTGAGTGCACCTAACTGTCTATGCGTAAAGTGTATGACCGCTTGTGTCCACTTTTCCGTTAGAACTAGACTTAAGTCGCGTTCCGACGTTGTGTAGGACAAGCTTTTATTGCACAGGTGTAACTTGCATTCTACAGTCTACAGGTGCGCAACTTCACTACTTTGCACTTTTCAGGTTGAAATTCATGACGCTGGGCACCGCCCAGTCTTCCAGAAGCTTTAGATCTGCTAATAGTCTATCTGAGTCCTCCGGACACTTTATCGCCCTCCATATCTTTGCGTCGTCAGCGTGTAGAAGGGTTGGATAGCTTAGACGGTATAGTAGATCATTGACAAAGGTCGAAAACATCAGTGGTCCTAGGATAGACCCCAGTGACACTCCTGATGACGAGCTGTGTCAAGATGATTTGACCCGATTGACCTCAGTGCAAAATTGCCTTTCAGCCAGACAGTCCTTTAACCATGACAGAAGTGGCTCACCTATACCTACCTGGCTCATTTTGTGTAGGAGAAGGTCATGGTGAACGGTGTCAAACGCCTTCTCAATGTCTAGAAATACCACATGAACTGGAACATTCATATCCCAGTATGATATCCAATCGTCCCAAGCTGATAGTAGGTCTGTTGCGCAGAATCTGCCTGTCCTGAAACCATGTAGGGCTTCATGGAGTATAATAGATCTATCGAGGTATTCCATGATGTGATCGTCGATAATACTTTCCAGTACTTTTGATACCACTGGGAGTAGAGCTACTGGTCTTTGACTAGTGCGTCGGTGGCACAGTGGTTAGGACTCTCGACGACCATGCACATGGTCCGGGGTTCGAGCCCACACCGGTGCACACCAGATATCTATGGTCGGCCTCCGAAATTTGGGCTACCGATATCCACGCTGAAAATTCCATACTAGTACCAAAAATACAGTGTGGAATCAAGCTGTAACCAAAATTAAAAAATAAATAAAATAGTGGCATTTTGCCTATCCCCACCCTTGAAGATAGGAGGAAGGACGGCTGTTTTTCACTCCCTTATCAGTTTCTCCGAATCCATTCAGTGTTGGAACAGGTCGCATAAGGGCCTACAGAGAGCTTCGGCGTACTGTTTCAGAACAGATGGCCTGACGTCGTCACAACCTGAGGACTTCCCAGGTATGAGTCACTGTAGTTCCTTAGTACTATTTCCGGGTTCATTTGGGGAGTAGCCCCTAGGTCTTCCTCCTGTGAATTAGTAGTCCCACCATTTTGGTCTGAAGCGGCAATACACACATTGCTGTTTAGCTGTTTGGCGAAGGCTAAACTGAATGTTTCAGCCATCTCCAGACTAGCGAGGTATTGACCATTTGGATCTACTAAGGTGCATGCCCTCTGGTTTGTTGGTTTTCTTTCCGACACGAATCAACACAAGTTTTTGGGGTTTGCTAGGAGCTTTTTGGCAAAGTTAGCCTGGAATGACCTCTTGTCACTCCTGACTCTCGCGTTGCACCGGTTCCTGAATTCTGGGTATGCGTCATGGTCTGTACGACTCTTAGATACGCACCACGTAAACCAAGCCTTACGCTTCGCTTGGGGAATACGTTGCGTGCCTCTCTTCAGCTATGATGACTTTCTTCTGGGCTGTGTTGTGGCTAAAGGGAGGGTATCCGAGATTGCTGTATGAATAATCTTTTTTACCACTTCCCAGTGTTCATCCACAGATAGCTGATCCCATGCTAAGGGCCAGTCTGCGTCGGTCAAAAGCCTCCTCATTTCAGCGTAGTCTGTCTTGTTATAGCTCAGACATGTTCGCGTAACTTCCCACAGCAAACGCTCACGGAGAACTAGGTCAAAACCTATGACTGCATGGTCACTACTTCCTAGGGGAGTCATGATCTGGACCCTTTCGACGAGTAGTTGGTCACCAGTTGGAATGTAGTCTAGTTTTGATGACTTTCCACTAGGGCCCCACCTAATGTCGTCTCCAACATCCTCAGTCAGTTCCGTATTTCGAACAGTTTGCAGTGGATTTTGGCCTAATTCGCCCTTAGCACACGTCGAGCTTAGGCTCAATGATGGGTCATTGAAATCTCCAGCTATGGGGATTTGGTCATTGCCAAAGTCCCGTATCCCTGTGATAGTGCTGAGCAGTAGCTGTTTGTGCTCTGCCCCACAGGTGGGAGATCGGTAGATGCCACTCAGTAAGTGTTTGATGTGGCCTACGGTGAAGTGATTCCAAAGGAAATCTGGGAGTTTAATAAGTGGTGGGTCCGTTACGCGCACACATTTAAGTTGCCTGTCAAAGTATACATCAACTCCCCCTCCTTCCTCATTATCCTTGTCTCTCCTGACCAGAACCACGTCACCTATACTGATTTCGTTGTCGGTGATAGTGGGGGGTTAGCGACGTTTCAGTGAGAATGATTATTTTAAGTAGTAGGTCAACCTCACATTGCTACGTAGGCAGCTGACAGTGAGTCTCACAGCCTCATCTGTTTCCTCTGTGTTCACTTGAAGTCCTGTCTTTGCTGGCTTCTTCTCCTGCATACTTGTTGGCTTTCGTCTGCAAGTTTTCGAGCTTGTTTAGCATTGGATATAAATCATCCAAAGAATTCAGGTCAGTAGTTTTCTTTTCGGTCTAGCGTATTCTTGCGTTCTCACTCATCATAGTTTGGCACACAAGCCAGTCTATTAGAATTAAGAATATACTAGCAGTAGATAATTCCCCAGAGTTATTGGCCAGAGCATTCATCACTGAACATTGGATGCTGATCCTCGGTCTTTTAATGGACCTATTTAACTGGAGACTTCCGGTCAAGCATCCACGCTATTTGCAACGTCATCGTGTCACGTTCGTTCGTGCACAACCCCTGGCTGGTTAAGCAATCATTTAGCACCCCAATCTCGTCCCGAAATATAGTTCACATTTTGGAAGATCAATTCTGGTGTTTTGCTTTGCCTTTAGGACGAATTCTACAGAAGTTGTGGGTAAAAAAAAAAAAGTTAGTATACTTCGTACTATCCGTTAACGTCAACATCCTCAGCCTCTAATATATCATTGGTGATTGCAAGAAGCCTTGTCTCACTCCCACTTTGATGTCGGAGGCTTCGCTGAGTTCTCTCTCGTGGATTACCTGACATGTGGCATTGTCATATAGCTGTTGAATGGAGTTGGGACACATCTGGAGTGCTGCACGCCATAATGTTGAAGTAGTTTCCAAATTACTTCTCAGTCAACCCTGTCGAAGATTTTCCCGAAGTCAATAAGTTGTTGAGGTAGAGGTTTGACTTCCCTTTTATGCCCTGTTCGATGGTGATTAGAGTTGAAATTTGATCAGCAAATGATTTGCTCTTCCTGAATTTAGCTTGTTCAGATTGAAGTTCCATATCTAGTGCGTCTTCTGGCCAGCCCAGGATGATGTGAGACGATGTATTTCTTAACGTGCACAAAGCATGATTCTGCGCCAACGCCTACATATGCCCAAGTCATCACTTTTTGGAGGTTTCTCAAGGTGGCCTTCCTTCCAGTCAGTAGGCGCTTTGCTTTCCTTCAAATTATCCTGCAATAGTGGCGTGAAGATATCCCCTGCAGACTCTTCGTTTGTTTTCACTGCTTCAGCACGAATTCCATGTTATCTTGCTGTCTTTACGGACTTCAGTAGCCTGATTTCATCCTAAACTTCTGCTTTTGTTGGAGGATTGGTGTACACTGGCAATTCTGTTCCTGCTGTTGGTGGTACTTCTGGACGATTT